AGGAGACCTGCGACACTGCTTACGCCCCCAACAACTTGCCAGGCTACGGGGACTGGAGTCGTGAGACAGGCTTCGCGTGGCCCGGCAGCATCTTTTCGGAGAAAAAGGAGGTTTTTTCCGCTTGCCTTTTGACCCCCCCGAGATTTGGAAGTTTGCCTTTTGTTTCCGGCAGAGGCTTGCCTTTCGACTGCCCGAGATTTGGAGGTTTGCCTTTCGAGAGGCTTGCCTTTGACTGTTCGAAATTTGGAGGCTTGCCTTTCGACTGCCCGAGATCTGGAGGTTTGCCTTTCGACTCCCAAAGAGGCTTGCCTTTCGCCTGCCGGAGATTTGGAGGTTTGCTTTTTGACTCCCGGAGAGGCTTGCCTCTTAACTGCCCGAGGTTTGGAGGTTTAACTTTCGACTCCCGAAGAGGCTTGCCTTTTGACTCCCCGAGATTTGGAGTTGCCTTTCGATTCTTCGAGATTTGAAGGTTGGCCTTTCCACTTCCCGAGAGGCTTGCCTTTTGACTCCCCGACGGCTTGCCGCTCGACTGCGTGAGATTTGGAGGCTTGCCTTTTGACTGGTCAGAGGCTTGCCTTTTGACTCCCGAAGAGGCTTGCCTTTCGCCTGCCGGAGATTTGGAGGTTTGCCTGCCGACTCCCCGAGACACATGCCTCTTGACTCTTTTTGACTCAAAGAGGCTTGTCTGTCGACTCCCGAAAAGGATTGCCTTTCGACTGCCTGAGATTTGGAGGTTTGCCTTTCGACTTCTGAAGAGGCTTGCCTTGGTTTGGAGGTTTGCCTTTTGACTCCCGAAGAGGCTTGCCTTTCGACTGCCCTAGATTTTTGTGGTTTGCCTTGCGACTCTTGAAGAGGCTTGCCTTTGAATTCCCGAAGAGGCTTGCCATCCCCCCTACCTTAAAAGAAAAATTGAGGGGAGGGGGGTCAATAAAATAAAATGTTTTGGGGCTTAAAAGCCTCCCGAGCCCTACCCCCGCCGCCCCAAACACGCCGCCCTGCATGCTTCTCCCGCTCGCTGGGCTCGGGCGTGCGCTCCGTGTGCTCCGTCTCAGTTGGTTGTGACGCCAACAGTTCGGCCCCCAAAGTGCAAGGGCATCGCCAAGCAGGTCGCGAGATGTGTGGTTGCGCATAGCAGCGTGCATCAGCACGCAATATCGCGTAAAATCCTTTCAATTAGAAGGAGTGTCTCGAGAGCAATGAAACCACCAGACATCTGCCACGCGCAGCTGCAATCTGCCAGAATTCTGCATGACCCGGCGCGCAGGGTCCTACGCCGGGGCTTGTGGACCTGCACGCTCAACCGCGGGACCCGGCGCGCCGGGTCCTTGTGACCCGGCAAGCTCTCAGATGCGTGGCACGGCGCCCCGGGCCGTCCGCTGCGTGAGCCCAACTTGAACATCCCGCCCAGCAGTGTTCAGCAAGATTTCGGGCGCGGCTGATACGCTACACACTAAATCAAGTTGAAGCATGTTGGCGCCGGCCAGCGCTTGGCGTTCTTTCAGCCGATGAAAAAATAGGGAGAACAGTTGCGGAAGCGCTGCGTCCTTCCCCGTTTTAGCCAAGTGACCTGAAGCCTTCTTTTTCACCCGCCAAGAGCAGGTTCCAGGACACTTGCAAAAACCCAAGGAAGAAGCACTGAGCAGCTTGTTGAGAGCGCAGCAACGCCTTATGTCGCAAGTAGTTTGGCTTGCTTTCTACGAATTGGTAAACAGGGAGGAGGGCCAGCCCCTTGCCCTCTGTGGATCCCCATCTTGGGGCAGCGCGGGGTCGCAACTCCAAGAGGATTGCTTTCAGAAAGGCGCGCTTCCCCGAAACTGCCTATTTTCATTTAGTCTGCTTACCGCCACTGGCGGTAAGCAGGCTAAACGCTCGGATGCCAATATCCAGCCCTCGGATGGGTTAGTCTGCTTATTGCCGTCGTCGGTAAGCAGACTAGATGAAAAGAAGCAGTTTCGCGAAACTAACTTTTTTTTTGCAAGTTGGTTTGCATTCTTTCTTAGCGTGGCAGAAGAGCAAAGAATAAAAAGAGAAGGAGATGATTGCGTAAGAAAAGAGAATTGGTGAGGAAAGAAGAAGGCAGGCAGTATGTAGGGCGTGCTGCCCCAAGGAGCTGGCCCTCCTCCTTGTTTACCAATATTCGCGGAAAGCAAGCCAAACTACTTGAGACATGAGGCGTTACTGCGCTCTCAATTAGCTGCTGCCGGAGATCCTATGAAAGAGAGATGTGCCGCAGGCGCGTGGGCCACATCTCAGTCAGCTCAGTGCTTCTACCTTGGGTTTTTGCAAGTGTCCTGGAACCTGCTCTTGGCGGGTGAAAAAGAAGGCTTCAGGTCACTTGGCTGAAACGGGGAAGGACGCAGCGCTTCCGCAATTGATCTCCCTGTTTTTGCATCGCTTCAAAGAACGTCAAAGACTGGCCGGAGCCAGCGTGCTGATTTAGTGTGTGTCAGCCGCGCCCGAAACCTTGCTGAACGCTGCTGGGTGGGATGTTCAAGTTGGGCTCACGCAGCGGACGGCCCGGGGCGCCGTGCCACGGATCTGAGAGCTTGCCGGGTCACGGCGCGCCGGTTCACAAGGCCCAGCGCGCCATTTCACAAGGCCCGGCGTAGGGCCCGGCGCGCCGGTTCGGCGTACGGCCCCGCACGCCGGGTCACGCAGTTGTGTGTGTTGGGTGACTGACAAGGTCCAGCGAAGGACCCGGCGCGCCGGGTCACGGTTGCGGCACGGTCCCGCAATTGGGCGTGCCGGGTGACTCGATTGTCTGCATGAAAAACACAATGAACCTTTTTTTCCCCAAGTCGATTGAAAAAGAACATGCCCCCCCCACATCCCTTGAACTAAGGCAGGGGGGATGGCTTGCCTTTCGACTGCCCGAGATTTGGTGGTTTGCCTTTTGACTCCCGAAGAGGCTTGCCTTTTGACTGCCCGAGATTTGGTGGTTTGCCTTGTGACTCCCGAAGAGGCTTGCCTTTTGACTGCCCAAGATTTGGAGGTTTGCCTTTCGACTCCCCGAGAGGCTTGCCTTTCGACTGCCCGAGATTTAGAGGTTTGCCTTTTGACTCTCCAAGAGCCGTGCCTTTCGATTGCCCGAAATTTGGAGGTTTGCCTTTCGGCGGTTTGCTTTTGGACTCCCGAAGAGACTTGCCTTCCGACTGCCGAGATTTGGTGGTTTGCCTTTCGACTCTTGAGGCTTGCCTTTTGACCGGTTGAGATGGCTTGCCTTTTGACTGCCTGCGATTTGGAGGTTTGCCTTTGGACTTCCGACAGTTGGAGGTTTGCCTTTCGACCCTCCCGAAGAGGCTTGTTTTCCGACAGCCCGAGATTTGGAGGTTTGCCTTTTGACTGCCCGGCAGGTTTGCCTTTCGACTGCCCAAGATTTGGAGGTTTGCCTTTCGACTCCCCGAGAGGCTTGCCTTTCGACTGCCCGAGATTTAGAGGTTTGCCTTTTGACTCTCCAAGAGCCGTGCCTTTCGATTGCCCGAGATTTGGAGGTTTGCCTTTCGGCAGTTTGCTTTTGGACTCCCGAAGAGACTTGCCTTCCGACTGCCGAGATTTGGTGGTTTGCCTTTCGACTTGAGGCTTGCCTTTTGACCGGTTGAGATGGCTTGCCTTTTGACTGCCTGCGATTTGGAGGTTTGCCTTTGGACTTCCGACAGTTGGAGGTTTGCCTTTGGACCCTCCCGAAGAGGCTTGTTTTCCGACAGCCCGAGATTTGGAGGTTTGCCTTTTGACTGCCCGGCAGGTTTGCCATTCGACTCCCGAAGAGGCTTGCCTTTCGACTGCCCGAGATTTGAAGAGTTGCCTTTCGACTCCTGAAGAGGCTTGCCTTCCGACTGCCCGAGATTTCGAGATTTGCCTTTTGACTCCCCGAGAGACTTGCCTTTCGACTGATCGAGATATGAAGGTTTGCCTTCCGACTGCCCGAGATTTGGAGGTTTGCCTTTTGAGTCCCCGATTGGATTGCCGAGCGACTGCCCTAGAGTCTAGATTTGAGGATTTGCCTTTCGACTGATCGAGATTTGGAGGTTTGCCTTTCAACTCCCCGAGATAAGCCCCCACCAGCCATGGTGTGCAACAATGGGTCTCGTATCTGCAAACGTCAAGCCTCCAAGTCTCGGGAAGTCAAAAGGCAAACCTCCAAATCTCGAGGAGTCAAAAGGTAAACCTCCAAATCTGGGGGAGTCAAAGGAATACCTCCAAATCTCGGAGAGTCAAAAGGCAAATCTCCAAATCTAAGCGAATCAAAAGGTAAACCTTGCAGGTAGCATTTGACAACTTGAGGGGATCTCAAGATTAGCTTTGGGCGAGGCCCCGTTTAGGGTCCATTTGGAGGGAACTTGTTTGAATTTGAAGCGCCCTAGAGAATATGAGGGACCTTCCAGTCCAAAGTTCCCAACCCATTGGATCAAAGGGCAAGGCGTTTAACATCCCGAGTTTTGATGTGTATTTGTGGGTTAGACCCCAGCAGTCTAAGTTAAAATGTGAATGAGCCAATGTGATTCCAGCATATTTTTCCGGATTAACCTACGTATCGGTGGTCATTGCAAGCTTGGCTTGCAAGCCCCAGCTCTGTCAAACCCAAGACTACTGTGCGTCATATTCCCTGTGCACTCAATCACTAAGAATAGCACGCTGAGCTAACTTTCCAACATCTGATTTAAAGGATATTTCTCATATACAAGCCTGAACCGAGTTCTTTCACCACGGCCTTTTGAGTTTAAAACGTGTTAAGCCCAGCTCAGCTTGTGAAGTTTTCCTCTCGAGCGTCCTTACTTTAGTTACTAGTTTTCTTTGTTCTTTCATTATGCTTATGTTTATGTTGCATGATTGGTTTCTCTTCTCTATCGTTGGCCAGAGGGCAGCTTTTATTAGATGCGCGAGCACCACCTGATGCATGGGCAGATAGCCGATCATGCAGCTGGTTCATCTGAAAGTGGTTTCGAAATGTCGGACATGCCTACGTCCACCTACGTCTCAAGGAACGTCCACGTCTCATGGTCATGGGGCAAGGGCCTCGGTTGCTCTTTGGTTTTCAAGACACCAGACCCGTCAAAGGACACTCTTTCGAGGGGGGTTTCCAACAAGCTCACCCGGGTGGTCGAAGTTTCGTAAGTCCCGACTCCTAGGACTCCCAGGACTCCCAGGGATTGCGGGAGCCACGGGTTTCCGCCAGCTTTAGGCGTTGCCTTCAGAGGTTTCTCAGTTCGCCCAGTTCGGAGTACCAAGGGGTAGACACGCATTCGTGGCTAGAAAGTGGTCGTATATTCGCTTAAACTGCTGACTTGGCAGTTACCATCCGGTTCCTTAGACTGGTAGGTGTTGTGATGCCATGTTTAACTTTTGGTAGCGTGCGCAGATTCAGGCATGGTACTTTGAAGGAGCCCAAAGGAGGGTTTAGACAAGGCTGCTTTCACCACGTTGAAGCAGAATGAACTTCCGGTGTCAAGGGATGGGTCTTCCTTGAAAACCACAACAAAAGGGGTACCCTCAAAAAGACGCACCCATCTTTTCCTGAAAACGCCAACTTGACCAAAACCTGCCGGGTCAATCCGCCGAGGTACTTCGACCCGGCTTTCTGTGACGAGGCCTGCGCGCGGGACCGCTGCTCCAACGACATCTCCTGCCAGGGCTACACCCTCGCGACGGAGGCGTCGTGCGCGCGGACGCCTTTTTGGGCGAATGACACCGGTCCTTAGGTTTTTTTTTTTTTGGTTGGGGTTTTCTTTCCTAAAGGTACCATCCGGATCCTTTTTGGCGCTTTCAAAGATTGTTTGGGATAGCCTTCGGCGAGTTCTCTTTGTGTTCACATCACCTTCGGGGGCGAAACGCGGCTCCCTTTTTTCTGGCTGGGGAAGTCTCTTGGCAGGGTCTTGACCATGCATAGAAGCTGATTCCATGTTCATTCTTTTCAATCGTAGCTCGTCTCAAAAAACCTCCTTGGTTTGCCTGGTCGGTTTTCTGAAAAGAAAGGGGTTCCATGCCCCCAGGGAGTAATTTGATTACACACATGTTGCTCCTGTGATCATCATGACTCAAGTTGGTTTTGACATACCCCGCAACCTCATTCGAATCCTTGAGGCTTTACGATGTATATGTGCGTATATTTGTGGCAGGCTTTTCACCTTGGTTTAAAGTGAAACCCAGAGGAACACCACCAGTCGCGATATTTGGGGTCCGCCCCCAACCTTGGGATGGGTTGTCTTTTTCGAGGCTCGGCACCCTGGTTGCTTTTTGTGTTGCCTGAAAGCCGCGCCAATGGGTAATCTGCACAGTTTTGGGGGGATTGCAGCTGTTTCAAGACCTCACAGACATGTTGCTTCCCGGTGTTTCGCAGTCGGGTTGCTGCAAAACGGGAAGCACTGGTTGCAAGTCTTGGTATGATTGTTTTGGAGGTATGGGTATGCATGCCACTGGTGTTTTTGGGTGTATACTGCTCACAAGCTTTGGTGCTATCGTTTTGCCTCCACAGCTCCCATGGCCTGGGGAATCGCCCAATTCGAGGCCATCAACGGCCAACATGCCGCGTCGCTGAAGGGGGAGGTCACCGGGTCCAGTGCCTGGGAAGGCGCGGGGCGCGCTCGATGCTTTGAGGTGGCCGCTTTGCTTCCGTTTGGGACTGCCTCCTGTTAGGGGTACCCCCCAAAAGGGAAGCCAAAAGACAACCATTTTGGGGGGGTCCGAATCCTTAAACAAGAACAAGCCCTTTTGCTGAAATGACATGGTTTGCAAGGGAATCGATTTCACTACTGGACATATTTTCTCAGTTTTTCCAGGAGACAGACTTAAGAGCAAATGGAAGTTTGTTTTTTTCTCGCAGGCTTGTGGTTGCCACTTTTGTTGAGCCACTTTTGTTTCAGGGCCTAACAGCTGAAGGGCTTAGGGGCCGCTTCTGGAAAATACAGGAGGGCTTTGCCATGTTTCTTGGGTTCCTTACCAACCTCAAAAGGCAGTGGATTGTGAGAGTGCATTTGTGTGTTTGGTGTAAAGGGACATCGAGATATCTTTCGGACCCCCGACTTTGACTCGAAGCCAAATCGGGATTCAGCCTTTGGAAGGGAAGCTACCGCCCAGCTTAGCCTTTCTCGCCTATCAGGGCAAACCGCCGAACCTCAAACCGATGTTTAATTTTTCAAGGAAATATATTGCAGCTGTTTGGTTGTCAGCACCATTGGCTACTTCGGTTCTCCATCATGCTGCCCAAAGGGATTTGACCGGTTAGTTTCCCTTGGGTTGACCGCACGAAAGGTGCCAAAGGGAGGCCACAGCAACAGACGCAAGGCGAGCCGTAGATCCTCAGTCACTTGGAGTGAAGAAAGGGGTCAACTTTCGAGCCTCGGGCCAGAATGGGAGCAACCCTTGTGGCTGGAAACTTTGCACCTTTTCTCTGTGACGAATTCCTAAAAGTTACTGTGGCCTTGGTTGCAACCTACCTGAGCACGGCCTACCATGGCTTTGATGGGTAACCATGACCAAGCCAACCCCTTGCAGATCAATCCAAAGTTGCTACAAGAAGACTATCAGGTGCGCGGCAAACACGTGCTTTTGCCCCAAAGCCTGTGAGCCCCAAGCCAGAGTACCCAACTTTCGCAAGAGACCAGACCTGAGAGGGGAAGCTGAAAACTCAATTCCCTTTCACTCCCGGATTCTCCAGGCTACACGTGCATCAAGAAGTTGACCGAGTGCGCGTGCGGCATTGGAAGCGACGCCTCCACGTCGCGGGCCATGGTTCCCATGGCGCTTGCTCTGTGCCAGGCGCTGGCGTTGGCGTTTTTGGGAGCAACAAAGGGGACAACCCATTCGGGCGTGTCTGTTAGGGGACCTGCCAACACAGATTTCGGTGTTCCCTTTGGCTTTCCTTTTGAAGCCAAAGGGAGTCAGGGGGGGTACCCTCAGAAGAGAAAGACACCCAAATTTTGTGGGTCCAACTCCTTTTTTAACTTTTTTGATACGTACCGAAGTCGTTGGCCATGGGGAAATACCACACAGCCATGGTTGCAATCTTCCAAGCAAGCCTCAGGTAAGGGCTAAGCGAACCATGGGAGTCGCTTCTCCCGGCCCATCCAAACAAAATGCCGGTTTTTTGGATCTCTTTCAAGCACTGGTTCCTCGCTTGAGACGGTCATGCCTGAGAGTCCGCACCCTTTTTCCACTTGGTTTTTGTTTTTTGAACCAAAGGGTGCCATTTCTTGGCCACCGAGCCCAGCTCAATAGAAAACTCCAGATCAGGATTCCTGAAAAAACCATGACCTAGTTTCCGAGGGTTTTGGAAGTGGATCGGAGGGGTTTGGTTTGGATTACCATCTTTTCTATTGAAGTTAAGCACATGAAGGCTTTGTGCTTGGTCTTCAAGCTTCTTGAAGACCTTCCTGGAATACTGCGCGTGCTACTCAAAGTGGTTGACCCTGTAGGCGGCTCTCTTGGGCTAGTATCTGCCCGGGCAGCAAGCGACCGGTGCGCTACGTTCGGCGGGTTGCCGATCCTTGCAAAGTCTTGGATGAGTCTTTTCCGTATGGGGTCTGTCTCAGGGTAGACCCCCTTTTTGGCTAATCGGGTATCCCCGCCAATGTGCCCAGTGAATAGGAAAAGGCCGGCATCTGCGGTTTTTTGAGCCACGCCCGTCTAAAGCGAACGTTGCTCATCTACGCGAACGTGTCTGCAAGCCCTTCGGCTTTCAAGCTGCGCGAAAAAGGCGATGCAGCAAGATGTGCGAAGCTCGATATTGTTGGATCTTTGCCGGTAGCTGAGGGGGGGCAGTTGTCAGTCACAAAATGTAGCTCGTGGCGCGATGCAAAGTTCACATCTGAGATGGTTTCCAATACCCTACATACCCTTTACATATACAGTAGTGGTGGCTGTAGATACCACTAAACCCAGAAGAGTTGAGTTTGGCGGCAGTCGGACGCCGGACTTGCTTTGCAAAGGAAGAAAAGAGGGTTTAACAAAGAACAGCAACCTGTCCATCTTCAAGCACTGTTTCCCGCACGGGTTTGTCTTTGAATGAGCGTTTCCAATGAAAGCGGCCCGGTTTCTCGTTGTTTTTCCTTTCAAAGTACCTCCTTCGTTGGGGGCACCAGAAACACCCACATACCCACATGAGCATGGGACGCGCCAGGGGAGGTGTGTCTAAACATACAATTTGGACACCCCGAACTGGTTTGCCCTGCCCGTGCACCTCTGAAAAGATGCAGCCGGATTTGGACCGCCCCCAAAATGGAGGCACAGAAGCGACGCTTGACATAAACTTTCGGTAACCGGGGAAATTAACTGGAAGCAGAACATGTCAGTATTACATCAGATGCGCGACAAGGTCCATCTACAGTAGCCATCAAATGGGTCTGAATGTTAATCGGGACCCTTGGACATGATTTAGGTGGAGATTCAGGTCCACCAACCACTTTTGAGGCGGCTCCCCTGTCAGAATCCCCAGCCAAAGTGGATCTGTGCCTGCAAAATCTGGCGTTTCTGCTTGGTTTCCCTTGAACCCAACCCCCCCTTTTTGCGGGGCAGGGGGGTCCAGGACGTGGCGAAGCTCGCGGCCGCGGGGGCCGTGCTGGCGCCTGAGGCGGCGCACGCGCGGCTGCCGGAGGAGAACCGAAAGTTTCGCCGCGTTCCGCGCGGCGCCGCGGGCGGCCCCGCCGTTTCCCTTCGGAACCTCCAGAAGTGGCGGTGTCAATTCGAAGCCGCCAGTTTACTCGCAACCTTTGAAGGGCGAAGACGGTGGTCCCTGTCCTTTGCCGGCTTCGGAGGTCGGACTAGGTGAAAACACATGTGTGGGGTTTCATGCCTTATGAAAAACACCCTCGAACAGTCGGATCTTGAATCAGGAAAAACATACCCCTCCATTTTCAGTCAGCAGGTCCAACAATCTATCCTTGGGACATGGATGGTGCAACAACACTTTTTGTGGATCCAACTCCAAGGCAAATCGCCCTTTGCGGCACACGGCTTTGGCCAGTCCGTAACTCAAGGGAACGATTCTTAGGATTGTCTTCGAGCCAGACGATCTTGTTCTTGGCCCATAAAACAAGGCAAGCCGGGGAATTCGGTCCCCTAAAACGGGTTTTGTTGTTTTGTTTTGGTTTTAGACAACCACGTACCTCCCTATCCCCTTTTTGGCGGGAAGCCAAGGGGCCGAATTGAGGCTCGCCTCACCCAAAACTGGGGTTTCCAAAGCTCTAGGTTTGGCCAAATGGCTGTGGCTGTGGCTCAAAAATTGCACTCGACAACTGGACGGTGACGAACCTTAGTCGCACTTAGGCTAGCGGACTTATACCGTTGCACTCATGTCGGCAAGATGTGCTTGCATGATCTTACATGGACTGTTTTGCGTTCTTGCGTACACGTGTCTCGCTTCAACATAAGGAAGATGTGCCAGCGTCTGGACAATGAAGGCAAACTTCCCGTTTCTTGGCCAAGTGCGCTCGTCAAGCTTCTCCTTGCAGTGCGTCTAAAAGAAATCATTAATTTGACGCCTCCAGGGTGGCAATGTGCTCATGCTGATTTTTTTGCTTGTGCGGCAGGTCGTAATACACCAATGCAAAATCAAACGGTTGCGCCTGCTTTTCCAAATGCGTTTCTGGCGCTCATGTTCAATTGAAGTTCAAGCGACTGAGCCCAGAATTTGCTTGTTTGCGTCCCTGTGATTCCCTGTGAAAGGTTTTGAGGCTCAAGGTGCAAAACCTTACTTCCCCAATGGGGTTGCCGCGTACAGCAAGACCCCATGACGGGCTATGAAACAAGCATGTGGCGCTGCGTTTTCCAGAAGCAACCTTGCAAGTTGCATCAGCAATGACGGGTTGCAACCCCCTTCCTTGAGTGAGGTTGGCTGGGCGAGTGGCTTTCATGCCAATCAAATGGAGCATCTGGGAAAGGGATGAGAGGGCCATTGCAGTCAGAGACGCGCAGAAACGAGACCGTTTTAGCAAGGAATGGCGAAGCCCACGAACTGTAGTTCAACCCGGGCGGAGGTTTGCAAACTCGCCTTCCGCTGACTCACTCACACATGCTCTCAGTGATGGCTTGCCCGTGATGTGCAGAGCGAGCATTTTTTGGCAACACGAGCGGATTGATGGATTCCCAACGACCCTCCCAGGACTTTCCATTGCGCGTCTCCGAGCTAGAAAGTATCTGTCGAATTTCCGCTGCCGCGGGAATTGAAAATACCTTCTGCCGTTGCAGTGCCAGCATGCCAATGCACAGGATCAGGAAGGGAGCAGGAAGGAAATGTGAATGGCTAAAAGCGCTCCTCGCGTGCGCCAAAAGCTTTTGATTGGGCATTGGGCAAAAGGCTGCTGACGTCACTGCCAAACCTCTGAAAGGTAGCTTGAAAGCCAAAAACATAAGGAGCATCTAAACATGTGGAAATGTTGCGCACTTCGGGCGTTCGAGGATCTGATTATTGTGCCCGCCTCGAATGCCGGGCTGCATGGATGCGCAACACATTCAATCAACGAACCGATGCGACGTGCAAAGTCATCTCCTCATATCTGCTTGCAATCGAGCCGGTTCACTGGCGATGCTGACCAAGGGTCGGTCGGGGCCAGCAAATGCGGCCTTGGCAAACCCACAGGAAGCGAACACGCAGCCCCGTGTGCTTGCCGAAGTGACGGCTTGTCCGGAAGCATCGTACTTGTAGGATTTGAGCTCATCGAGGTGTTCTTGCGCAACGAACCTTGCAACTTTCATTCAAGCGAAGTGTGTCCGGCGTGGGCAGTCTCACCTGGTTGACGTATCTGATCCCTCCCTATTGCATCTCAGATGCAGCTTTTTCAGAGTGGGGAAGACGTTTCTATCAACATCACAGGGGCACATGCTTGCAATGAGCATTAACCCGCAAGTGCCTCAAGAAAACTAGCGCGGCAGGCGCCATGTCGCGGTTATAATCATGTATGTCATGTACGGAAAACACTTTGCCTCAGTGCGTTCTTGCCAGTTGCCGGGCTGTGTGACACTGGGTGTGGCTGGTGAGGCTGGTTAGGCTCCAGGCCTACGAGTTGCTGAACACACTGCGAAAAGGGTTTTGGAAGCACCAGTCACGCTGACAACATCCTCCCCACAGACTTTCGATGAGCATACGTCCAAACAAAAATTCACATGCTTGGTGTTCTCTTGTGCCTTTAACACAACTGTGGCTTGTTGGGCTCTTGAGTTACTGCCTGGCCCTGCAGGAACTGCCACGACTTTGTGCAAACAGCGCTGAGCGGCGCACTCCTGTGCCAAAGCGTTTGCTGGTCTGTGACATGCAATCCAAACGTTCTGCAGTGCCACATATCTTCCCAGAATGCACGAAAAGGTGTGCTGAGCAGTGGGACTTTGTGTGGTCAGGAGGGTGACTGATTGAAAATCTTGTTCCCATTGTACGTGCAAAGCACGCACGTCTCTGGAAGGCACTACACGTCATTTCGGGAAAGACATGAAGAAGACACGTCCAAGCGCGGGCGCAAGGAGTGAGAAAAGCTGTGTCAAGTGCCTCAAACCGCAGCTCGGTCCGGTGACTGTCGACAAAGTCGCCTGCCAACTTCTACCAGTGGATTTGGGTTTGCTTCACATGTTGCTGCGCAGCAACGCCCAGTAAGGCCATCCCCGCGCCAGCAATCCCTACACCTCGGGCGTTTGAGTCTGGTGGTGATGGCCAGGACATGAGAGCCCTCACGGTGCCCCTTGTTTTGAATGAGTGGCTTTTACGTTGGGAGGCGAAAGAAAGCGCGCAGCAGCGCGTCTACTCACTGCATGACACAACTGGTTTGGAAGGATTTTGACATAAACGGTGTGTTGGTTGAATGGTGAGTGAATTTGTTTGAATAGAACGGACGGAGGCCTTGCGCGGCTGGGCACTTCCTGGTGGTGCCAAACCGCTCCCTGCTCCGGTGTCTTGGAGCAAGCCCCGGAGTCTGAGCGAGTGTTTCGCTTGTTGCCAGGTTTCCACCACATGTCTGCACAGAATTGGCATTGCGATTCGAGGCAGCTTTTCGCCATGTACCGTGTGGCCGATGGAGCTGGGGCAGTAAGCATGAAGGCCTGGACCAGATGTGATCCCAGTTTGCCGCACTGCCTCCCAGAAGTGCATGACGGACATGGCGTCCCAAGTTGCGATTGCCCATAAATGGAACTACCCTGCCGACCAGGAGCTGGGTTTCGTAGGAATATTTTCTGGGCATGCTGCAGTGACCAGGGCTATGTGGAGGGCCCTTCTGGACTGAAGCTCTCAGCCAAAAACTGCACATGCCTTCTGATTCAATGAGCCACCCTTGGGGAGGCCACCCTTGGGGAGATGCCTGCGAGGCATGTGTCAAACGGAAGTCCTAAATGCGACGGAAGAAGAGTTATGATTATTTAAGATGATTGTAGATATAAGGTGACACACTGGCAACAAGGACTCAAACAGCAATGTGCAATCCTGTACTTGGCAACTTTGTGCTTGCCCTTGCTCTTTGGCCGCTAATATATATATATATATATATATCTCTCTCTCTCTCTCTCGCTCTCTCTCTCTCTCTCTCTCTCCCCCTCTCTCTCTCTCGCTCTCTCTCG